TTTTTTTATAAGGACACCAATCATTTTGGGGACCTACCCTATGACCTCATTTAAACTTAATTACCTCCTTAAAGGCCCGATCTCCAAATACAGTCACAGTTGGGGGTTAGAGCTTCAACTTATGAATTTTGGGGGAGACACAGTTCAGTCCGCAATGGGGAGACAGTACACCAGATGAATAAATAACAGGTATGGTAGAAAAGGAGGATGTGAAATTTGAGTACACATACTGTGATTTAAAATCAAGTGGTTGGTGAAGGCCTCACAGAGGTGATATGTGAGAAAAGACCTGAAATTGGGGTGGAACCATGTGGGCCCCTGAGGGAAGGAACAAGCTGTGCAAAGGCCCTGAGGTGGGAAGGTGCTGGTGATTCAGTGAAGAGGATAGCAGGTCTCTGGAGCAGAGTGGGCTGCTGAAGAGGAGGTCAGAGGCATGACGAGGGGAAATTTACTTTTACCGTGAATGAGATGGACCCACGGAAAGTCCAGAGGATGGGAAACATGTGATCTGATCTGGGTGCTCACAGGGTCCCTCTCTGCCATGAGGAGAACAGACTGTGGGGTCAGGAGCAGGGAGGCCAGCCTGGAGGTGATTGCACTAGCCCAGGGGGAAATGATGGTGGCTTGGATCAGAGAAGTGGCCCAGACGCCAAAGTATGGAGACTTCCCTGGAAAATGAGACCCTAGTCTGCAGCCTCCTCCTCCCCCAGTTGTGGATGTCCCGGTCCACTCCAGATCCCACCCTCACGCTCCTGAACCCCCAACCCCAGCCCGAAGCCGCCCCTCCCATCCCCTTTGTCCCTGGTAGCCAGTGCACCGGCAGGTCCCAGGCACAACCCCTCTGGGTCCCAGCAGCCATGTTTTATATCCTCACAGATTCAAGTAATCAAAATTGAGACTGAGGACAACAGAGAGACACGCTCCGCCAAGGACGCACTGCTCCTGTGGTGTCAGATGAAGACAGCTGGGTAAGTGCACCCCCAACCCTGCGCCCCCACTGGGTGGGTGGGGCCCTAGCCTGATCTTGAGGGTCCCTTCTGGGACAAGAGTGCAAGGGACCGCCCAAGTCCTCCGTGTCAGAATGTTACATTTGAAGTTAATGAACTGGTAAATAAAATACGTCCACTCTTCTGACCTTGACAAATAAACCCGTGTAAGAATCTGGAAGGCCTGGTTCAAATTTAGAACTTGGGCCCCTCAGAAAACAGTGCTGGTTAGTGGTGGACCGTCCCCAGCCTGCTCGGTCTCCTGTATCTCATCCTGTACCTCGAGAGGCCTTGTGGGCACCTGTGTGAACACCCCAGCCCTAGTCCTGAGTCCTGGCCACCCCCACCCCGAAAGCAGCCTAGGATGGTGTATACCGGGGCTCTGGCAGCTCCCATGAGAAGTTCAGGCTCCTGGGTACCTTTGGTGGGGCTGAGAAGGGGGCCACTCAGGCTCTGCTGGGAAGTCTCCTGGTCCCCCAACTCTCTGCCCTGCGGGAGGGGCATGGCCTGAAACTCAGGTGCCCTCTGCCCCTGGGAGGAAGCGGAGAGCAGGTATGGATGGAGACTGGGCTTTCTCTGATGCTCAGCCTTCCGGGGCTGGCCGGCTGTCTTGCAACACTCTCTGTCTTTCCATGTGTCTATCTTTACCTCTATGCCTGCTTTTCCTTGTTCCTGTCTCTCCCTCCCCCTTCTCTCTCCCTTCTTGTCTCCTCCCCTTCCTCCTTTCTTTCTCTATCTCTGTCTGTATCTTGCTTTCTCTCCGTCTCTCTTTTTCTGTCTCCTTGCCTCTTTCTTTCTTTCTTTCTTTCTTTCTTTCTTTCTTTCTTTCTTTCTTTCTTTCTTTCTTTCTTTCTTTTCTTTCTATCTATCTATCTATCTATCTATCTATCTATCTATCTATCTATCTATCTATTTTTCCATCCATCTATCATATCATCTATCTACCCCCCCACCATCCATCTATGTCTCTCTCTCTCTCCCTTCTTCTCTCCTTCCCTCCCTCTTCCCTCCTGACTGTCTCCATTTCTGCCTCCGTCTCTCCCTTCCACGCTGCCAGTTACCCTGAGGTAAACATCCAGAATTTCACCACCAGCTGGCGGGACGGCTTGGCCTTCAACGCGCTCATTCACCGGCACAGGTACCACGTGGCCTGGGGCAGCCTGGCCCTGCCCTTCCCCCTCCCCCATGTCCCTTGGGTACACACCTGTACACATATGCATGTAGGTGGCACGCAGAGACGCAAGGACCCATCCCTTCACACTTACACGAGGCACCCACCTGCACAGAAACCTGTGCCCCATAGTCTGTGTACACATGGAAACACACGTCCCTCGTGCAGCTGCGTAGACACACGCATACTCATGCACATACACAGCCTGTGCCTGATGCTTCGATGCCTCCAGGGTGGAGAGCTCACCCCCCATGGATGGTCTTCTCTGGTGTGTGCATGGTGGTCCTTCCTCAAGGCAAGCCGCAGAGCCCCCCTTCCGGCTCCCTGTGCACCCACATTTCACACCCCAGGGCCTGGCGCTGAATTGGCTGAAAGGTGGGCATCCAGACAAGTTGAACCCACATCGTGACTGTCCATATGACAGATGAGGGAAACTGAGGCCCGGAGCCTGGGAGGGACTTGCTCTGGTGTGGTCGGAGTGGAACCCAGCCTTTTCTGCTGTGGACACATGTTCGTTCACAAGCCCTGCCTGTCACATACACACCCATACACTTAGAGAGACCCGTCCCCCCCACACAGTGAGAAACCCACCAGCTGTACCCATGTCATACTAACAACGGTAACATTTACTAAGTACTTTCTGTATACCCGGCATTGTTCTAAGAGCTTTCCAATAAGTCATTTAATAGTCAGTGAGCCTGTGAGGCAGATGCTATTATCATCCCCATTTTACAGATGAAAAAATCGAGGCACAGAGAGACAAAATAGCTTACCCAGAGTGACAGCCAGCCAGGAAATGGCCGAGCTGGGGTTTGAGCAGCGTGGGCTAGCTGTAGACCTCACACTTCTAACTGCTACGTAATACTGTTTAGCAAAGCACCCAAGTAGATGTGTGCATTGCCAAGTCGGTCCCACTCATTCGCACGCAGCACTCACGGCCACGGATAAGTGCACAGACGTGCACCAGCATACACAGCTTTCCCCTCGGGAGGCAGTGCCCCTCCTGCCCCTGGCTTTGGGTGGGGCTCAGGCCGGGAGGTCTTTCTGCCCGCTCGCCCCCTGGCTCTGGAGCCTGCCTGCTGCCTGCCCGCTCTGTGCCCCTGCCTAGGCCCGATCTTGTGGACTTCAGCAAACTCACCAAGTCCAATGCCAACTACAACCTGCAGAGAGCCTTCCGCACAGCAGAGCAGCACCTGGGGCTGACACGTCTGCTGGACCCTGAGGGTGAGCCCCCCACAACCCCAGCGGGACTTCCTCCTGGGGGGACCCCCGACCCCAATGCCAGCCCAAACTCCTCTCCATCCTGCTGCAACACCGTCCCAAACCCGAGTCCTTCTAAGTCCTGGCTCCCACCCAGCCCCTCCCCTTCTTCACCTCTAATCCCCTTTGCCCCCATCTTCCAGTCCCTTCCTTTCACATCTCTGTCTCCAGCCCCAGACTCATCTCCATTCCTGCCTCCAACTTGACCCCATCCCCTTCCCAACCCCAAGCCCAGTCAGCTCCCCCAAGCCCAACCCCCTCTCCCTCCCTAACTCCGGTCCCAGCTCCAGAGCCAACCCCACCCCCAACATTATCCCCTGACTTCAACCTCATTCCTAATCCCAGACCATGCCAACACCGACCCACCAATCTCTAGAATAACAGCTGTTCCCTCTCTCTGAGAGTCTGCTCTGTGCCACGCACATGGCTGGGAATTTTAGCAAAACTTCCCGCTTTTATCCTCACACTGACCTGGATGGATAGAACTTATCCATCCTGTTTTAATTTTTTTTTAATATGTATTTATTTTTGAGAGAGACAGAGCACGAGTGGGGGTGGGGCCGAGAGAGAGGGAGACACAGAGCCTGACGAGGGGCTCAAATCCACAAACCACAAGATCATGACCTGAGCTGAAGTCGGATGCTTAACCGACTGAGCCACCCAGATGCCCCCTTATCCGTCCTGTTTTAAAGTGATAGGAATGAAGTCTCAGAGATGTGAAGTCACTTGCCCAGTGTCACACTGAAAACCAGTACGTGGGACTTCTTGGCGGGGGGGAGGGGCAGAGAGAGAAACAGCAGGTTCCATGCTGTCAGCGCAGAACCCGACGCAGGGCTTGAACCCACGAACTGTGAGATCGTGACCTGAGCTGAAACCAAGGGTCTGACACTTAACCAACTGAGCTACCCAGGCGCCCCTACATGGGACTTCTGGTACCTATATTCTGTGTCTGGCACATGGTAGGTGTTTAGTGGATATTTGTTCCACCAACCATGAGCTGGTGGAGTAAGAGCTGAGTGTAATATTGTGCATTCAGTGGGCACATCAAAACGATAATTGGAATTTACTGAGTTTCTCCTCTGTGCCAGACTATTCTTTCTAAAACTTACAGTGCTCCTTTTTGGCAGGCACTGTGCTAATCCTCAGTCTTGCAATGGGGGAAACTGAGGCGAAGAGAAGTTAGGTCTGTTTCCTAAGGACATGCAGTGAGTAAGTGGTTGAACAGGGATTTAAGCACACGTTTCCTCCAAAGCCCACACCCTTGACCTCTGCCCTCATAAATAAATACATACATAAAATAAATTTATTTACTTATAAAATAAATAAATAAATACACCTCGTAAATATTTATTGAGCTCCTACTGTGTGCTGGGCATGACCAGAACAATGGGAAAAAAGACAGGCATAGCCTTTGTCATCATGGAACTCAAACTCAAGATAAGGACATGATTGCATAAATGAATATTTAATTGCAGATGATAAGTTCCAGGAGGCAATGATAAGATGCCGTGAGGAAGAGTAACAGGGGTGACCGACTCTACACAGGGCGAACAGGGAGGCTTATCTGAGGAAGTATAAGCTGAGTGGAGCCCTGAAGGATGAGTGGGAGGTAGGCATACAGAAGAGGGAACATTGTTCTACCTAGCGAAAACAGCATGTGCAAAGGCCCTGAGGTGGAAGGTAGAATGGTGTGTTCAAGAAGTAATTATGGATAATTTCTCTGGTGGTTTGTAGGTGTAGGTGCAGATCCCCGTTTGGCAGATACCAAAATTGAGGCGCAGAGGCTACTTGTCTTGCCCAAGGCCACACAGCTAGTAAGAGTGGGCTCTCCCGGGGCGCCTGGGTGGCGCAGTCGGTTGAGCGTCCGACTTCAGCCAGGTCACGATCTCGCCGTCCGTGAGTTCGAGCCCCGCGTCGGGCTCTGGGTTGATGGCTCGGAGCCTGGAGCCTGTTTCGGATTCTGTGTCTCCCTCTCTCTCTGCCCCTCCCCCGTTCATGCTCTGTCTCTCTCTGTCCCAAAAAATAAATAAAAAACG